CACCCTCTCCCTGAGACGTTACCTCAAAAAGTCACTATCCATCTAATTAAAAATCGACTGAACGCGCAAACAAGGCCCACCTGTTGATCCCGTCTGCAGCGACCGTCACGTCGGAAACGTAAAAGGAGCAAGGCGACGTTCGATCTCGAAAAGAAAGAAAAAAAAGAACGAGAAAAACCGTATCAGTCCCATCCATTTGGAACTGGTCCGGCGTTCGGGGCTGCGTGCAACTTTGTTTGGGCCTCAGATCGGATCCCACCGATCGGTGCGTGCTGCGGAAAAGAAGCTGGACGCAGGTACCGAGAAAGAAAGAGAGAGGGTGAAAAAGAAAGAAAGAGAAAGAGAGAGAGAGAGAGAGACGGATTAAAATTTCACGACACTCCGTTGACCGAAGCGACAATGTATCCGCGAGAGCCTGAACACCAATTAAGACGTTACCTGCGCGGCGGCGGCGGCGGCTGAAACTCGATAAGGCCCTCGGAATGGTCCGCGCGGCCACTTAGACGAGCCGGGCCACCGCGCCGGTGCGGGCCACGCTCTCTCGCGTTGTTGTCCCCGTCATCTTCGTCCTCGCCCTCGTGCGTCGTCTAGAACGAAGGAACGAGGAGGAGCAGAGCCGTGAGGAAAGAGAGAATTGGCCACTGTGGAATGGCGGCTGATTCTCCGGTGTCACACACGCCGCCACGCCGCCCTCCCGGAGGCCGAGGGCCGGGTCTCGTGTTTCGGTTTTCGGCTTTCCGAGAAACCCTCGCGGGACTCCTACTACCACCTACGGACTACCACCTACCTAAACCGCCATCTTTTTCTCGCTTTCTCCTGGCTAACGCCGGGCTTAGGGCCCCGCGGGCTGACATTGTCTTCGGTGGCAACACAATGGAACCGCCGTCTCGAACGGAATCTGCTAATCCAGGATCAACAAGGTGGCCTCGACCGTGGTACCTTGGAAATTCTGCACAGCCAGCCTGGTTGACACCTGTCAGTGAGAACTTCGGGAAAGTTTTCCTACCTGGCGAAGCAAGGCTTCTTCCGGTTGTTAACGGTCTTCGGACCCTGGCTCTATTCTTCGAAGGTAAACCCTCGGTCGACCCAACCGGAACCGTGACTACGCGATTTACGATGTTTATGATCGTTTGCAGATTATTGCACGACAACTTTTCGGAATATTGGCAAAGCGGATCTCGCACGGAATATTGGCAAAGCGGATCACATGCCTTAACTTGTTTAACCAATCATTTTTCTATCTCCGTGTCTACCTGTCGAATAACCTTATTAGAACCACGTTTTATTTTCTTCCACCGCTGAACGGAGGTTTGGCCATATTGAGAAATTTCAGAGCCATTTTTAACGCCATTTTTAACGTCTATTTCTATTTCAGCGATATCTCTGGTTAGCCATTTTTCTATCTTTGCATAATGCCGCCTGGTTGGTCAGTGTTAATTGAAGAGATTGATTCTTCTACTTTTAAAACGATGTTCCACTGAATCCAAAAAGCTTGAAGCTATTAGTAGCTTCTATTCTTGTTTCAGTTGCACCTGATTAGCCATTCTTCTGTCTTTGCACAATGCTAACTGATTGGACAGCGTCGACTGAAGAAATATCTCTCTCTACTTCTAAATAGATGATCTACTAAATACTAAATCTTTGAAGTCATTAATAAGATCTCTTCTGATTTAGCAGTTTTTCTGCTATTCACGATGCTAATTTGTTAGACAATGTTGATGGAAGAAATTGATCCTTCTGCTTCTAAATAGGTACCTTGAAGACCATTTGCCAGGACTATTCTTATTTTGCGTCATCTAATTAACCATCTAACGCAGTAGATAATTCTATTATTATTAACACTCGCAAACAAAACAAGCCTGGAAGTTTCTTTCCTTAAAATGGCACGGTGATACAGAAATCTCTTAATAACCGACCGATAATTAAAGGTGTTAGCAGGTGTTAGCAACACCGCTATTTTGGTCTAAAACGATTCTCGTCCAAGACCAGACCTTATTTCTATTCTACTTAACATTACACGCTCTACCCTCTAAATTTCGTTCGTTGAATTTCGCGAAACACGCGAATAAAATAACGAGTACCGGTAGCGAGCAAGTAAACGCTATAATTAACATTGATTAGTGAAATATCCCAACCACCGTTAAGCACGCGTTAGATGCTAGAAGCTAGAAGTAGTTCTTCCGAGAAAAAGTTGTACGTGTCATTTGTGCATGCATGCAAATTCTGTTTCCGTAGAAGTCCGACTAGCGCTGTTCCGCCGTTTAGTCGCAGGAAATCAACTGTGAATTCGCGACGAGTTTACGAAAAAAAAAATCGCTGATATCACTGTGCCGCAAAAACGTTTAACCAACAGCGACGAGGATTTCTTTCCGCGGATAGAGCATGGTATTGTATCGATCTTCTGATGGAAGATGAAAGATAGAAGAAAACAATAGAGAGAGAAAGAGAGAGAGAAAGAGAGAGAGAGAGAGAGA